TACAAGAGGAAGCAGACATCTGAGTCAACAGGGCACCACTTACTTAACAAAGCTGCGGCTTCCACTTGAAGCGATCTGCCATATCACAGAGCACTTCTGGTTCGCGTGGAGGAGCATAATTGCAGCCGTTTAGAGTGCAGTAGGGGGAAGCAGGAAGAGGATGCGGTGAGTCTCTGGGGGGCTCAGCTGAAGGAGGCTCCATGCGGCCTGCCAAGGCCGCTGCACCCTACCCCTGTCCCTGTGCAGGAAGTGCCCCCGAACGTGCTCCAGGGCTTCACATTGCCATAATACATGCGCTTACAGGCTCCGTCACACATGTGCGCATGCACTGTGTGTGGTAGGCACACATAGAGTTTCAGCTATTCCTGTGTGGTATGTGCACTTCTGTGACTCAACCACAGCCCAATTACTAGCTTCCTTGCTAGTGGATGGTGGTCAGGACCTCTGAAGGTCACAGGTGGCAGTGGTCCTTGCGATTCTTTCAGATCTTCCACGTGTCACAGAGGCAGGGAACAGGCCTCAGCTGAGTGAAAATGTGACACTGCTCAGAAGAAAGCAGCATCTCCATCCATAATAAAAGCACCTTCAAGAATGTCACTCCCACCCCCACCAATACCCTCTTCCCAGCTTGTAACTCTGGTTGTGCTCAGTGTAAGAAGTTTAGCTCATGGCCAGGGTGGAGAGGGCTTTGCTGAAATCCACCTCATCAGGCTTTGTGCCAGGCCACGGGGCACCCAGCCACCCAAAAGTAGGAATCACTTTTTCCTTCCTTTCTTTTTTTTTCCAGTACTGAGGATTAACTCTACTTTTCCTGCTTGCTAAGCACATGCTCTACCACTTGAGCCCTAGCCCTAGCCCTTCTGACCTTTCCTGAAATATATATTTTAGTATATTTAAGTACTTGTACAAAGGAGTTGTCATTCAACAGAGCAGTTTGTGGGTGCAGTGCATTGTGATCCATGTCACCCTGGCTTTTAAATGATATTTTAATAACAATATCCTTCTATGTTGTGTCCAGGCTGGCCTCAGACTATGATTCTCCTGCCTCCTATTTGGAACTACGAGTGTGTACCACTATATCCAATTAGGGATATCTGTCTCTAAGCTACACAAAGACATGATATGGTCCATGGGTCTGTTACCCACGGCCATGGGCACACGCACGCACATACAGTATGGAGGTCCACATGCTCCACCTGACATGCTATACAAATGCATTCAGGTGCAGTCACTGAAGGATATACAACCACGCTCTTGCAAGGTGCCTGGCCAAACTCAGCAACATACTCTACCTGTCCTTTCTCCCCCAAGCCAGAATGAGGCCACGACTGGGGCTGTCCCCAGCCGAGGGCAGAGTGGGCCCTCCCTGCCAAGGTGACCCCAAGGCAGACCAATCTCTTGGCTCTGAGAGAAAAGGAAAAGCTCTTCCCTGAGGGAATCCTGGCTCCTTCCTCCTAGAACCTTGTCGGTTCATGAAGCCAAATAGGGGCCAGGTCACCAGCTTCCACGTAAGCCAGACCCTCTGCTGAGGTGGGCATCTAGTCCCTGGGTGTGCTTTACTTGTCCTTGCTCTGAGGAAGCACCTGTGAGGGCTTGGGGACCCTGCACTTTAATTACCTCCTTGGGGAGTCCTGAAACTTCCTCACCTTTCATGATGCCTCCCCTCCCCCCCCAAACACAGAGGGAGGGAGGAAGGAGCAAGGAAGAAGCTATCTGGCTTCTGGGTCTGCCCAATCCCAGAGGGCACCTGCAGGCAGGTGCCGAGGAAGCCAGCCAGGCCCGGACGGTCTTCAACATCACCCTGGCTGTCTAATCCAAGGCAGGTTGAGGTCCAGCCCCAGGAGTTCTGCTGCCCGCAGTCCCAGAGCTTGCTGCCCGTCCAGCTGCAGGCCATTTGAGGGGAGGGAGGGGGAAGGGCCATCCCTGTTCTCTGGGGAGCAGAGCCCCGCAAACTGACCCCCGTCTCACAATGAAATTGAGCTTCCATTTTCATCTTCTTCCCAAATGTCAGCCGCGCTAGATCAGATTAGGAACTAATCTCTTGCCAAAATTCATTTCCAAACAGGAGAACAGGAGAGGTGGCCTTGGGGCTGGCGGAGGAAGTTGTTCCTTTCCTTGTCCCTCTACCTCCTCCCTTTCTTCCCTGGTTACCAGGTGGAAATCTAGGTAAAAGTCAGAGAAGCCCTTGGGGGACCTGATCTAGCATCCAGGGTTGGAGGTTAGGGATACCCTAAAGCCATGCCCAGCCAGGTGTTTGTTCACTCCCCTGCACTGAGGATCCCCTGAGGGCATCTACCCTGAGCTGCAAAGAAACGGAAGTGGAGGGGGGGCTATGGCAGATGGAACCAGAGGGCCGGACTCTAGGAGGGCATCCACAGCCTGACAGCCTTTAGTCCCTCCCCACACCTGGCCCAGTTGCCTCCCACCCACCCTGAGGGCCAGGGTAGTAAATGGGGGGGGAGGGGGGGGGGACAACTGCAACCTAAAGGGAGTGAAGGAAAAGGAAAAATAAATGCCCAAATGAACTGGTCAGTACCTTGCAGGAGGCCTCATCTGACAAGTGACCAGAGTGCAGCCGCTGGCCTGAATGCGTAATTACCCCCACGTGAAAATTCCCCGTCTAATTTGATATTTGGTTCTTTGCAGAAGCTATAGCCTTCGTAAATAATATACAAAGTAAGAAACCTAATCCCGCCTGCTAGAATGTTTAATTCATCATTATGCGAGCTAATTGGAAGGTGATTATATGGTAATTGCTCATTAGTGGTGTATATTTATCGCTGTACCTTATGTCAAGGCCATGGGAATTGTGTAGAGTCTGTTCTCTCATTTCAAGGATCAGTTTCAGAAGCAGGAGTGAAGCAGGCAAGATCAAGTTCTTCCTGACGTCAGGGTCCAGCCAGGGCTACGGAGATCAGGGCTATATATAGGCCCTGGAGCTGGCTTGGGGGCACCGGCAGCCTGGGGCCAGGCTGAGGCACGGGAACCTGGGAAGCTGCAGACAGCTGGGTCAAGGTTGGCCAAGCGCTGCTTTCCCGATCATTTCCCTAAAGCGACCCCACCCTCATCCCTGGCCCCTCTGGGAGAGCCCTCAGGTGTGTCTGGGCCTTTGGGCTTATGCAGGGCACCTGTGCTTTCTCTAGGGCTCCCCTAGTCTAGTAAGTGTGCAAGGGGCGGGGGGGGGGGGGTGGAGGAGATGGGAGAGAAACCCGAGGACGTTAGCCTGGGATGGGGATCCGAATGAGACTTGACTTGAAGCAGACAGACAGACAGACAGAGCTTGGAGCCCTGGGGTGCCTCTCCATTGTATTTCTGAAGGGTGGGGCCCCCCGGGGTCCCTACGTGCCAAACATTCTCTCAATCCCCTTCCCCCCACTCCGTAAGGCGGGGTGCCGGCTCCCGGCAGGTACGGACGGACGGAGTTGGTGCCCAGGAAGGGAGAGCGCGCGCTCTCTTGGGGAAGTGCGGAGCCAGAGCTAATTAACTCCAAACACGGAGCCTGGCAGGACGTGAACCCAGCCCCGCCCCAAGCCCAGCGGCCGTGCCGGGAACTCGGGAGAGGTCGGAAGACGGCTCTGCAACCTGGAGGGTGCGGAGGGAGGTGAGGAAGGGCTCCGATTGCGGGGGAGGCCGCCAGGAAGCCAGGCCGTCCCGCGCCCGCCCCGGCGTCCCGGGACCCCGGCGGGGACCCTCGGAGCGCGACCTCCTGGAATGCCTCCCCGCACGTGCTCCGATCTGCAGCGCGCTCTGGCGCCCCCTTGGAGGAGCGCGACGCGCAGCCCTCCACCCGGGGCGCGGGCCCCCTCCCCACACACTCGGCACCCCGACTTGCAGCCCCAGGGCCCTCCCAAGGTCTCCCGCTGGGCAACAGGCACTAATGAACAAAAGGCCAATTAGACGCCGGGACGCGACTGATGAATGGACCTTTCGCTTTCAAGCGTGGCACCGCCTCGGGTTTGTTGGTGCGCACAGGGTCCCGGCCTGGAGAAGCTGTCTCCTGGTGCGGGGTCACGGCTGGGGTCAGAGGGTTCTCAAAACTCCCCCCTCCCCCCTCCCCCCACACACACCCTCGCTACGGTCCTAGTTAGGGGAATAAATCAGGGGGTCGAGCCGCGGACTCTTGCCTGGGAGCTCGGCATCCGGGCGGGTGCAGGGGTTCAACGCTTTAGGCCCGCATCCTCTGCCCCCGCCCGTGGCTGCTCCAAGGCGCCATCCAAATACATCAGGCGCTAATTTATTTGAAATAATAAAGGTTGTCCTGGGGGGGGGGGGGGAGAATGTGCAATTACAAAAAGAAAGACATGGTTGTTGTTTGCTAAACTCCCGAGTGGGTAGCGCGATTCCGGAACGGCACCCCAACTCAAGCCCCCTCGCGCAACTCACACGCCGGGATCCCAACACGCACACGCTGCTCTGGCGCTGGGCTTAGATGTGGATGGTACTGAAGGGAACACACACACACACACACACACACACAGTCGAACTCGAGGAAGTGCCCCGCAGATCACACCTCTTAGACGCCCAACTTCACCAAACCCACACACACTGCGCAACCCGACCGTGTGTTCCCACCTCATCTATCGGCACTCCGCAACCCCCAAACCCTCCATTCCTGCCGCAAACCATAACGATCTAGGTCACCCCCGCCCCGGAAAGACAGACATCTTGGCACCCTCGTGCAATCTAGGCGCAGAGCCTGACCCAGACAATCAGCACCGATACAAAATGGACTGAGGTCCGTGTGAACCCCACAACGGCACCTCCTCAATCCTCTATCAGCCTGGTTCACGCACCCTATGTATATAATCACACGACCTCACCCTAACTCGCCCCTTTGCAACCGCCCACATGTGGGCAGCCCGACCCATATCCTCCCCCCGCCCCCTCCACACAGCATCACCGTGAAGCGGGCTCCCTGCCAGGCCTCCGAACCCCCAGCACCCCTCCCCAGCCGGCCAGTGCAGTCCAGGACTTTGTTTCCTGCGACTCGAGGCGGGGACAGGGAGGAGCCGAAGTTTCCCAAGCCGCGCGCAGGCCCGAGTGCCCATTCTGCCCGGCCCGCCTGGCGCGCCCGACCGGCGGCCACAATCCGCCCCTCGCACAAAAGTGGCCCGGCAGGTTCCGGGCCGCGGCCAACGCGCCCGCTCCGGCTCGGCTCGGCTGCCAGGAGCCAGCGATCCCCGGCAGCAGTCGGAGCCTCAGACACCCAGAATGAGAGCTGAGAGAGAACCGGTCACGGGTGGAGGTTTCACGCGCCTTCCCGGAGGAACAAGCAATGCACGCGGACCCCACGTGTACCTCGTGGGAAAACGCAGCCATAGGCCTACTTGCGTGGTGTATTCCGCTTGACCCTCTCCGGGTAAAGCAAACTGAGAACCCGCGTCGCCTCGACATCTTTTTGGCACTGGGGCCAGGGAGGGGACGGCGGGAGGGGGTGGAGGGAGACCCATTAGGAAGAGCCGATAGTAGCCAACAAAAGAAGATCAAATTGTAACCTATATCTCCCTTCGGGGTCACGGGCAGGACACAAGGCAATAGGCATACAATTGGCCTTGGACTGAGCGGACGGAGCGCACGGCCCGGCTAAGATCGTCCAAGAGCCCTGCCCGGGGGGCATCGAAGCCTGGCATCCACGTCACGCGAGGGAACCCTCGGCTCCCATACAGCCAGCCCAGCCCAGAGGACCCCCGCCAAGCACGCGCGCACTGCAAAGAGAGACTGGCACGCCGCACACGCGCCCCGCGCACCCTGCCCGGAGTCCCACGCCCAGATAGTCATCGTGGGTTGGCATCCCGCAAATATTTATATTCCTCAGCGCCACAGCGGCCCGCGTCCACATTAGACGCTCTAATCCTGCCACTTTAAATAGATGAATTAATAAAGCAAACGAGCGGCTAATAAGCTGACTGTCCTGCCTTTTTGAGGCGGGGGGCGGGCGGGGGGGAGGGAAGGACTCGAAAGTGCGCCAAATTTGTTTGCAGTGGATCAAGGCGAGCCGCCTCTGCTTCACTTTCTTTATCTTAATTCCGACTTGAAAAGATATAATTATCTAGTTTGAACAGAGCTGCTATCAAATCCTTCTTTGGGCCGGGAAGGGGGGCGTTGGAGTGGATTGCGGCTCTCTGAGCCGCTCCGTGCAGCCGGAGATAGCGCGTAATGAAGATGTGGAGGCCTGAGATACAAAGGGCATTAACCTCATTAGCATGAAACCTTTTCTTCTTACCATTGTGGGACCCTTTCAGCCGCCTAATCCCCCCTATTTTCAAAGCTTGGTTTGTAATAAAGCTTTTAGTTTTTTTTTCTTCTCTCAAAGCTAATAGTATTCTCTGATGATTTTATTGCTGTTCCACACTACATAGGACATTTACAAAAAAAAAAAAATTCTTCACTACACCCCCCTCTTTCTTGTACTTAAAGAAATTAAGTATATGGTTCCTACCGAAAGTAGTCTTTTGATCAAGATGGGAAGAAAAATTCTGCAACGGTCACCCTGAATTTTTGCGCTCTACATTTGAGGCGTTTGAAGTTTGGGAATGTAGGTGGAAAAGAAAAGGTAACTTGGCACTCACTGGTTTAAGTGAAAGTGCTATGGATTCGGAGCAGCAAGTAGGAAGCGCTCTGGACAGGAAACAGTCCCTGAGGGGCCACTATCCCCGGCGCTGAAACCTTCAGGCAGGTTTCCCAGGTAGCCCGCTGCACCTGTCCCTGTAAGAGGCAAGCTTGGCTCCCTGAAGCCATCCCACTCACCCAGACAAAACTACAACTCACACTTTCCAAAGAGGAATCTAGTGGGAAAACAAATATGAGCAACCAGATCTACAGAGGGGCAAAAATGGAGGGGAAAGAGGGAGATGGGCAGAGAGAGGGAGGAGAGGGAGCGAGAGAGGGAGGGAGAGAGAGAGAGAATTCTGCTTTACAGCAGAAGAGGAAAAACCAGAAAGGAAAAAAAAATTCCATAGTGCCCTATAGTCCCCCACACGTGCGTAGAATGTCTAATCTTAACTTTTCAAGGCAGGATGTTAACAAAGCTTGTATTTTTGCCCTGCATTGTAACTTGGCCTTATCGCAGTGTAAAGGGTGGGGAGATTGTCCTAAATTATGTCCAGGCAGCCCCCCTGGATCTGTGGATTAAGAGATTAAAGGAAACCACTGGGCAAGGCCTCCTCTTTCCTTCATATTCCTGGTATGATAATTGCTTAAACTGATTTGCACTTTCACAAAAGCTCGCAGGACGCTTTGTAGCCCGAACAGAACAGACGAGGTTTCTCTATCAATGGAAATAAAACTGATTAATGCAGCCTATCAGGATAAGAGGCAAATGAAGCATGCAAAAACAACCTCATACCCCCAGAAGGGGGAAGGGGGGGGGGGGGGAAGCTAAGTTTCCTCCAAGAATAGTTACAACTTTTTCTTTAATGTTAAAATTAAGAGTTGAAGGTTTCCCCCAAATGCTTGCCTTATAAGGCTCCTGCAGGCCGCTTCACTCATCCCCACCAACTCTGGCAGCTTGGGGCCAGGGAGAAAGGAAGGAAAGAAAGAAGGGAAGGAAGGAAGAGATGGGGGCAGGGGAAACTTGCACTTAGAGAGTTGAAGTCAGAAACAAAGTTTAGAAGTCCCCGGATGCTGGTTCTGCTAAGTGTTTTTCCCCAATCCTGAGGAATACTCTTTAAGAGAAAAAGAAAAAGGCAGAATTAGGGAGCTGCAAGCATTTTTAACCTAAAGTTGAAACCAAATTCCCTCAGAGGGCATGCCACAAACAGACAAAGGTCTGCTTGGAAAACGTTTCTCTTTCCTTTTCTAAAAGACTTTAGTTGTCCTAATCTTCTACCTTCTCCATTCTCATCTCTCTTTAAAATGACCCCCCCAAGCCATCAGTTTGTGGACCCTTTGTGGGTGGGAAATCAGGGGGTTGCTTGAGCCTAGTTGGCAAAAGACCACACTCAAATTACAGGGAATTTTTTTTTGGGGGGGGAGTAAAGATTGACTTCAATTTCCCAAGACAACTACTCTGAGGGCATATTGATAAATCTTTATTGACAAAATATTGACATTGACATACTTCTTGGAAGTATATAGTGTGTTAGAATTCTAACAAATTAACACAAAACACAAAAATATTTACATTCTGGTATAGAAGACATTAAGGAAGCATTTGTCACTCTCTTTAGTAAGTCTATGGTCTTGGAAGAGAAACTCTGCTTGAAAATTTGCCGGTGTCCTTGGCACACTAGCATTATCCTTGCTAACTACAGTCCTTCAGCTTTTGCAATAGGTAGATTGTAAGTTTTGAATAGATCATTATGGTGAGTGGTTGAACTCCGCCAATTTCTTCAACCACTAAAAGGAGAAGCTTATTTCATGATTTTTTGAAGCTTCAGAATGTTGGGAAAGGGATTGTCCAAGAATTATAATTAATTTGAAGGATTTTTTTTCCTCCCCCAGCACAAGTCCTGATTCTTCTTGTGGACACCCTCCCACACCACCCCCATCCCTGACCCCATCCTGTTCCCCGTTTCTCTGTAAGAGGACCACTATCTCCAAGCCTATTTCATTTAGCTTTCACAATCACTTTGACATGAGAGAAGGTATCAAAAAGTGTTTACAGACTGCACGTTTCTCCAAAATAAAAATAAAAATTAAAAAACACACAGAACCTGTCTTTAAAAAAAAGAAAGGGGAAATAAAATTACAATTCATTTGTTTTTAGACACCATTCACCCAACAACTGCTACATGCAATTCAAGTTTTTGAAACAGGTGTGGGATGGGGCTAGATATGGAATTTCACTTGTTATTACTAATTTTTTTAAGATTGGGGAAGAACACTTGGAAGTGCAAAATTAAAAGTCCTGTGCCTGGTTGGGTTGGATTTTTGTATAAAAACATTATTATTATCATATTTTAAGTGGACTGTGATAAACGGAATACCTGCCAATCATCTTGTCTCCCTGGTTTGGCATTTGACTGACAGCTCCCCTTGTCAGAGTGCGAGGTCAGCTTTGCCACACTGGGCTGGCTCTCTCTCTCTCTCTCTCTCTCTCTCTCTCTCTCTCTCTCTCTCTCTCTCTCTCCCTTCCCTCCTTCTACCTCACTCACTCAATCATTCAATCACTCACTCAGCTGCCTCTTTAGACGAGGGTTGTACGTTGATGAAGGAGTCTCCATCTTCTGCCATCCCTGCCTGGTCTCCAACTGGGACCCAGCGCCCTCGCTGTCCAAAGTCTGCGAAGCACAAAGTCGCTCCTCAGATCCTCTCTCCATTTCTCAATGTGTGTGCGGTTTTTGTTTTGTAGGATTTTTTTTCCTTCTTCCCCTTCTTTCCCAGTCTGTTTGCTTTTTCTTTTCCATGTTGCTGTCCATTTCTGCGGGGTTAGGTTTGTGTTTTTAATCATCTGAGGTCACGTCTATTTCCTCCGGACTCGCTTGCTTGGTGGCAATTCTCCACCGATTAATGTGGTGCGTCCCTTTTTTCTTTTGTTGTGAATCTGAGCCTTCTTCCTCCAGCTTCTGCCTTTTGAACTTCGTCCGCCGGTTTTGAAACCATACTTTTACCTGCGGGAGAAGCAGGTGGGGCCACATTAGATGCTTCAAGGCACCCTCCCACCAAGGGCTTGAACCCAGCCCCAGATCAGACCCCAGGGCAAGAGAGAGAAAGCCCAGTCCTCCAGATGCATATCCACAGGACCAGCCGCCCCTCGGCCTCCCCAGCAGATTTAGGCCCCTGAGACTGAGGGTAGGAAGCTCAAGCCCATGTCCCAGTTCCTTGCTCTTCCAAGCCCTACCAGAGGGCCTTCCCCCAGGGCCTTGGGGTCCCCACAGTGCACTAAAACCCTTGCTGGTCTGGCCCTGCCCAGAACACACACATTCCCTTGAGAGCAAAGGCCTTGAAAAGTATGAGAACGCCAATAAAACAAGAAGTATTAAGAAACGCTCCTAACTTCCCCAGCAAGGAAGTACAGGGAAGACCTCCGTCAGGCTAGCGTCCTTTCAGAAAAGCGCAGTGTGCTTTCTATTTTCTGCTGGTCTGACAGTGCCTAAATATAGCGCCTCCTCTGCCAGGCAGAGGCCCTGGTAGAGGATCTTAGTCTGCAGGAGCCGTGGCCTTCTTGCCGTGGGGACTGGCGCAGGTGTGTAGGAGTCAGGTGGAGGCAGAGGAAGCCAGTGGGCAGTGAGGTACACAGACCCGCAGGCACGGCCTTGCTGTCCCTTTCGGGCTAGGAAAGGGGGCTTCCGAAGTGAAAGCTTCCCCAAAGGTTGAGATAGGTCGGAAATAACCAGAGAAAGTGAAGAAGAAGGGGACACAGAGAGAAACTCCCAATTTCCCTCAGCCCCACAACAGGTCAGGGTTAAAGTGACCCCTCACCAAGTCAGGAACGGCAGCCTGGCCTCCCCACAACCACTGCTAGAGGTCTAGGCAGCAAGGAGGTTTAAATCTGTGGCAACCAGATGGCCCACCGGGAAGTCGGGAGGTGGGTCTGCATTCAGCAAGTAGACAAGACAGGAATAATATCCAACCTTGCCAGCAGTGGGGTACAGATGAGTTAGTCTGGGGGGCGAAGGGGGGGACTCCTTGGTCAATATTCCCCAGCCTTGCCAAATCCGTAGCCATCCAAACAGGTCCGAGCCCTTGCCCGCCCCCCCCCCCAGTCCCTCTACTCCCTCCTTTAAGACAGCCACAGGGTCCAGGCTTGATCTCCCCGAATGCCCCCGGTCCCTTAAAGTGCCCCACGAAAAAGCAGAGCGGGAACAAGGCTGAGTTTAATTTGCTTTGAGTTTGCTAATTGAGGAGGAGGACGGTTCAATTCTCCCCCCGGCGCTCGCCCAAGGCGCGCGTCGGTGCGCTCAGGGCTTGACACGCACACAAAGAATTCAGGCAGAGTGGGCAGCGAGGCGGACAAAGACCACCGCTGCCTCGGCTGTCCAGGAGAAATCAGCCTGGCCTTGCCTGCTGCACAAGCCCGCGAGGCCCACTACAGTTTTTGTCAAGGGTATGTGTCGGTGTGGGATGGAGGGGAACATTTTAAAAACAAAAGCCTCGACCTTTTCTTTTTTTCCTTTTCCTTTTTCTTCTTTTTTGCGCTTCCCAGGAAAAAGTGTTACAACTCAATCTGCCAGAAAATGTTACTGAGCGCTGAGAACTTTGACCCCGCCCTTTGGCTTCTTCTACAGTAGGTGCTACTGTAGCCTTGCGCCCCCTCCCCATGCTGGGGCCAGCTCCAAACCAGGCCCACTGAGGGACCTCGCAGCGCAGAGGGGCCGATCTCCTGAGGCGAGCCCTCTCCACAGCCTCCCGGCTTTATTGCTCAGTTTCTGGGTGCACCCCCAGAGTTCCTCCCCGCCCCCCCCCCCCAGCTTCGAGCTGTCTCATTCCCCTAACTGGGAGCGGATGATGGAAGCCAAGGACCTTAAAGTCGTCCAGAACTTGCTTTTAACCCACTTCCTCTTTCCCCAACCAGCCGGACAGCAATTAGCCTCCTGCAGGACCCCTATTGGGGTCTCACCAAAAGTGCCGGGCGTCTTACTAGGGGTGATCAGGCCGGCTCCATTGAGCAGAAGGAGCAGCCCACCACGCGGGCCGAGACAGCCTCCTGGGGAGGCTCCGCAAAGCTAGGCACCTGGGAAGTCACACACCGGGGCCCCGGTCGTGGAGCCGAGTGCGTGGGGCCCTTCGCTAAAGCCCCTCTCCTGCCCTAAGCTGGAGCTGCGCACCGGTGTGGGTGGTGCTGGGTGCCGGGCTCCTGGGTCCCAAGGTCTGGAGCGAGAGGCTGACGCTTGCTCCGGGCTCCTGGGCCGCGCTCACCTGAGTTTCCGTAAGGCTGAGGCTGTGCGCCAGCTGCTTCCTCTCGGCGCCCACCACGTAGTGGTTCTTCTCAAAGGCGTGTTCCAGCCGCAGGAGCTGGGACGGCGAGAAGGCGGTTCGGATCCGCTTGGGTTTTCGGGCCAGCGCGTTGTGCAAAAGGAAACTCTCGGGACTCGTGTCGTTCCCTGCGGGGGTCGGGGCAGCACAAGGGCCGTTAGGAGGCCGCGGCCGCCAGCGCAGGGCGCTTCTTCGGAGCCGGACCGGGGCCGCTGAGCGCTCCGGGCGGCGCCTAGCTCGCGCTGCCCGACCCGCCCGGCCCCGTGGTCCTCCCTGGGCGCGCGAAGCCCAGCTGGCAGGCCCGGGCCACCTGTGTGGCACCCAAGAAGTAGCTGCCTCACGTAGCGAGTCTCCACACCACCGAGCCTGGCGCTGGGGCCGGGGAAGAGGTGACAGGTCCTGGCTGCGAGATGGGAGCCGTTCCCCCACCCCAAAAATAAAACCCTCTCTTCTTACTAACTTCGCGGGCAACTTTGAAACAACTCCCCCCCCCCCCCAAACACACACAGTGGAGAGGCGGAGGGCCGGTTCCCCGGGACTTATTATTACTATTATTATTATTATCATCAAATGACCCTGGTAATAGGGCAGATCGTGGCAGCCGGCCTGGGACAGAAATACGGCGAGTGTGCCCGGCTTCTACTGCCGCTGCCTTCGGAGGACCCGGCTCTGGGGTTCCCCGGTTACAGAGAACCAGGACAGAGCTGTGATCAAAGTCCAGGGGACGGAGGTGGGGGACGCCGAGTTTTGGGTGCCGGCTAGAACTGTCCGCGTCCCAGAAGATGATGCCCTTTGCTTCAGATCCGGGTGTGTGTCTATGTGTATGGGGGTGATCCATAGCGTGGCTGGCACAGAATGAGAAAAGGACCCCTAAACTTTGAGAGCACAGCCAGAATGTTTCGGATTCACTTATTAGAGCAGGAAATCGATTGGGGGGGGGGGGGGAAGAGGGGGAAAAAAGCCAAACAAAGAAAAATAAACCGACAACCCGGGGTGGGGGGGGGGGATGGAGGCAAACTCAGGGCAGGAATGAGGTCCTAAGGTTTTGGGGTGGGTTGTTTATCTTTTAACAATGGAATAAGGGGGGCGACAACTACCCGATTCTCCTCTCCCGCAGGCAAGTCAAGGGTTAATGGATGGACGGGCTCCCGAGTGGCGAACGGACGCCTCCCCCGGCCCGGCGGCTCGGGATTCCGTTCAGTAAACTAATTATTTTCTGGAGTTTTAACTTTCTTCCCTAGCCCTAACTCAAAGCACGGGGGGGGGGGGGGGGGGAAGCAAATGATTTTCTTTTAAAAAAAAATAGCAAGAAGATATCCAAACAGATCTTTCCG